GCCTTACCTACATCCAGAATGGCATTTCTCTCATTGAAAGGTGAGAACTGTTGTATACTTGAAACCTAGTTTCTTTGTTACGTCTTCTAAAATTCTTGCCCAATTCTTCAATTTGTTTTTTGTCGTAACCACTAGCTTTTGCCATTGTAACTAAAGCACAGCGGGGATGTGTTGTGGGACATTGTGGGGCGCAGATCTAAACTCCTTGTGATGTGCTCCATAAAAGAAGGCCAAGCAAGTGCCTCTCTCCTCACGTGTGTGTCCCTTGTAAAGTAGGGGTGAGCATTGTTCGGTTAAAACCGAAAAAACAAATTGAAATTTCCAATTTCGGTTTTTTCGGTTTGGTTAATTCGGCTTTAAAATATTTCGGTTTCAGTTTCGGTTTTCACGATTGGAAACTCGGTTAACCGAAATAACCGAATTAACCAAAATTTGTTATATACATATTATAATAAATATTATTAATATGTAAAACATAATATATTATAATATGTATATCATATATATTATATAAAACATTAAAATATATAAAATACGTTAACATATACATATATTATAATATACACAAATATATTAATATATAATATATAGTATGTATTAGTATAATATTAATAAAATTCGATTTTAACCGAAAAATTCGGTTTTGGTTTCAGTTCAGTTTTATATTTTAAAAATTCGGTTTATTCGGTTCGGTTTTTAACCAAATAAACTGAATGCCCACCACTACTTGTAAGGATTGTGGTGAAACCCAACCCCACTTACTCTTATCCTGCTCTTTTGTTTCTTGTTTTTGGGAAATTGTTTGTTCTCTCTTTGGATGCAGATGGGCTCCCCCACAGGATGTGATAAGTCTATTCAGCCCCTCCTTCCTGAGGCAACAAAAGAAAAGCGGAAAGTGCTTATGGAAGGCAGCAAGAGTTGTTGTGGTATGGACTATATGGGAGGAAAGAAACCAAAGACTCTTCTCTGAAAAAAGTAAATCAAAGGAGGAAGTCATTGAAGCCATAAAAATCAGAACTGCACGTTGGGTGATGACCATCGAACAAAAACTTCTCCACGAATAACATTCTAAGAAACTGGACTGAAGTAGCACAAACAGATGTACCCAAAGAAGTTGTGAGAGCAGAATGGAAGCCACCTGCACTGAACAAACTAAAACTAAACTTTGATGGGAGTTCCTTTGAAAACCCGGGAAGGGCAGGTATAGGGGGTGTGATTAGAAATCATCTAGGTATTGGTGACTCAATACAGGCTGAATCTCTGGCTCTACTTCAAGGTTTAAAGCTGGCTGAGTAGATTGGAACAAAAGATTTAGAAATAAAAGGAGACTCACTACTGGTCATTTCTTGGGCTAAACACATCACTTCAGCACCCTGGAAGCTCAAATTTATCTACAGAGAAATTGACATACTTGCAAGGAGGTTCAACTCTCAGTTTGGTTGGGCCAAAAGGACTGCAAATGGGTTGGCAGATACCCTAGCAAAACAGGGGGCAAATAGATCTACCTTGTACTGGGTAACTGTAACTGTTTGTATGTGCTTGTAGATTGGGTTAACACAGTGCTGCAACCTAACTATTGTAATTCAATATTTCTCTATTATTAATAAAAGTGTTATTTGCTGATCAAAAAAAAGCTTGTATTTCCGTCACCTTCCTTTAACCATCGAAATCTAGATTTTTGTCTCCAGCTTATTTCCTCTCTTTTTAAGAATCTCTTCCAGATCTTGTTTAAGGCTCCATCTTTTAGCTCTTTCTTCCACTCTTAGACCTCTTTCCCTTTCAAAACCATCTAACTCCTCAATTCTGTGTACTATACCAGCCTTTCTTTCCTCTAGATGCCCAAAAATCCCTTCTCCTCCCCCCATCATTCTCTCACTTTTGATTTGAAATCAGGATGGAGGAGACACATGTTTCCAAACCTAAAGGGGCACAGGCCTCCGCCCACTCTTATTTGGGAAATCCTGCTTGGACAGTGATCCAAAGTAGTTCTGGGTACGGCTCTAACCACCAAACCCATCCATCCCTCCTCCCAATCCAATGAAAAAAGAAATCTGTCTAGTTTGCAGCAGATGGGTGATTCGTGAAAGTTGGACCAGGTAAACTTTACTTGTAATAAAGACGGTTCTCTCAACTAATTGGAATCCACAAAATGGTTGAACTTTCTCATACTAGAGGTAATCCTATGACTGGGGTTGTTTGTTTCATGTAGGAACCTAGTGACATGTAGAAGTATTAGGTAAGGGGGCCCTCTTTCACCCTTCCTCTTCACTTTAATAGCTGATGTAATGATCTCAAAGGCTAACAGGGAGGACGTAGTTAAGGGGTGGAGAATAGGCAGAGATGGTATTCCAGTCACCCATCCCCATTTTGTAGATGATTTACTAATTTTCTGTGAGGGAGGTGATCTAGAGAAGGTGAGAAATCTTAAGGAATTGGTTAGAAGCTTTGAGAGGTTGTCAAACTTGAGCATCAATCTTGGAAAGAGTTGTGTAGCTGGTGTTAATTTAGAGCTTAGTGAGGTGGAGGTTATTGCAAGATGCTTAAAGTGTTCCATTTCTTCCTGGCCCATGACCTATCTGAGGCTTGCGTTAGGAGCAAACCCTAGGAAGAGTAGTTTTTGGTGCCCAGTGGTAGAGAGGGATCTTAATGATTGATGGAAAAAAGAAGCAACTAAAAGATGTCATTAGGATTCCAGGTCCAAAGCAAAATGGTCGAAAGAAACACCCCCAAGAGACGGAATATGGTCCAAGACAAATGAGACATTTTCATAGTCCCCACCTCAAACCCAAATCCCAAGAGATCCCAACAACTGACAAAGTAGCACAGTAAGAAATTTTGTTGTATTTGTTGTGGAACAAAGAACAAAGTGTGAAATATTTATCTATAAAATAAAGATTTCCCAACCCAAAGGTCCTCCAAAATTTTCCTTTTTCCCTAGATGATGCATCAATTCTTGTCTATGGTAGGAACAAAGGTGAGATAGAGGAAATGGCCAGCCAAGGGGCCTCCAAGGTGGTTACTCATCACAACCATTAACTGAAATACCATGAGTGCTTTTAAGTACCTCATATTACAGTTTGTCTATCAAAGAGGAACCACCACAAAGACTTACCAAACAAAGATGAGTTCCTGAGGATCAAATTACCTAGATCCAAGCCCATGTCTTATTTGCATTTACACACATTACCCCAATTGATCAAAAGGTCCTTTTTGGGGACAGCTAAATTCCACAAAAAAAATATATATTTCATTATACTTTCCTTCCTTTTCGCTACCATGACTGGAATTTTGGAAATTGATAAATAAAAAGGGATGCTTATAAAGGTGGATTTTATAAGGTAATTCTACATCCAAGTCTCCAACGGTGATGTAATTCCTCTTCCAAGAGGCCAACTTCTTTGTGAACTTATCCACAATTGGTTTTCAAATTCCAAAAGGTATTAGATCTTAGGTTTCTATTTATGGGGACTCAAAGTTAGTTTAAAGACCAACTAGAGGAAGGGCATCATAACAGATCATCATACAAATCAACCTCCATCCTGTCCAAATTCACACCAACTAAGCAGCTCTTCCCAAGCTTCACTCTCAAACCAAAAATAGCCTCAAAACACTTCACAAGGAGTTGTAGATTCATAATCCCCCTACCCCACTATCTTCACAAAGGATAATAGTATCATCACTGAATTGCAAGTGGGATACCACCACCCTCCCTGCCTATTCTAAAGCCTCTTATTAAACCACGGTTGTCTGCTCTAGTAATTAGGGAACATAGGACATTTCCACTAAGATGAAGAGAAAAGGAGATGGTGATCATGACAAGGCTTACTTAGATACAGATTAGGATAATGAAAACACTTTGTGCTCTGGGGAGACCAGAAAAAAAAAATGCTGAATGAGGCAAAGCTAATAAAAACAAAAACTTTCAAAACAAGCCATTATACAATGATTCTTGGTAAAATATGGGTGGTGGGTGTGAGAAGGAAGGATAGAGAGAATGGGATCAAGATAAATTTGATGAGGACATCATATTAGACAAAGCCATTCAAGTTGATAAAAAGATACATGCAGAGTTAGGGATAGCAATGGATAGGGTACCCACAAAAACTGCCCTTTCCCATTCTCGAACCCGCCTAAGCACCAATGATCCCATACCAGCTTAAATGTTCCTCCCAATTTCCCAAGCTTGTTAATCCCATTATAATCTGCCTCACTCAATTATCCTATAATGAGGTTAAACCCAACATGACCTGTCTCACCCTCCTATCATTTAATCAAGTGGGTATAAACAGGTCTGGTTGGAGAGTGCCAGAAAATCATTAAAAGCGGGGGAAAAAAAAAGAAAAAAAGAAATGCTCACTACTCAGCATCCAATGTACATAGCAAGCTTCAACATATTAAAAAAACTTCAAGTTCAATATTAAAATACATGAAAAGTTCTTAGGTTCATTATCAACAAACAACACTCAAGAAGGGGAAGAGTTTGAATCCTCTTTTAACCCTTCTTACTATGTAAATTATTTATTACAAAATATATAGAATATATTTAAAATATATATAAAGGTTTATAATTGGGTACCAAGGGCGGGTACCATGTTAAATATAATTGGGTTCAGACATCAGGTACCCTAAGGTTAAAACCCAAACTCATCTCAATCCCTATAGGGTTTTAATCTAAAACCTAAACCCATCAGTTGGGTTAAAGGGTGTACTATTGTCTCTTTCTCTCTTCAGTGATTCCTTATCACCTCCTTTCATATCTTCTTTATTATTTTAATGCAACTATCCTTTACTATAAAAGGGCGTTGGAAGGGCTGGACCTGATAAAAACCTAACCTTTAGCAATCTTTTCCACAAAGTGGCTGCCCAGTCTCAGACTCACATTCTAAAAAGTAAAAAACTTTTATCCCAAGACTTTACCATTGCACCAAGTAATGTCCCCTCAAATATCAGATATGCTACATGTATATAAAAGGAAGATATAAATGGAACATTGAAGGCACCTGCGGCACTTTGGTCAAGTATGCCAAGTTGAAAACAACCAACTGATCCATCACTCCTCCCAATGACTAGGCAACCCATTATTGCTGTTATGGCTGTTATTGTTTCAGACTGTTGATGGGTCCGTATGTTGAACTCTATAAGCTCACTCCGAGGAAAAAGGGAGCAAGATGCATAAGCATGAAGGTTTCTCAGTTTGAAAAGATAAGCAATTCCTGAAACCGTTACAGCATAAAGAAGATATGGGCTCCCAGTGGTAACTTGGTTCTGCATGAACAGGTCAATTCTTCAAAACCTCAAAAGTTTCATGGGATGGATACAATATAAACAACTTAAAGTCAAAAAAGAAAAAGAAAATTAAGGATTAGCTTTAGGAAAGTCAACTAATATATTGGAGAAACCTCATCTTTGCATATAAAAGTAAAGGGACAAAGTGCATCATGGAACATGAGACGCAGCCCGATCCTTGGAAATTCTTTGCATGCAGAGACTTCCAACAACTCAAGTGCATGGGGCAGCTTCTTGTGTATTCTCCTGTTGCATGGAATTAATGTCAGTTTTAAATACTGAAAGGTGGACAAAGAGATTAGAGGCAAGACACTGCTGCACATAATTTGGGTGTCAACCAACTACAAGTTAACAAACAAAGAAATTTGTGAAGGAATGCGCCTCTCCTTGAGAAGATTCCAGTGTACACTTTGTTGTTTATTGATTATTAATAAAATTTTTATTACTTACCAAAAAACTCTGATAAATTATGTCTCTTTACAGCCGATCCATGGGAAGAGAGTTCACTACCTATGGTTTAAAATGTTCCAAACTTCCCTAATATTTCCACGACATATTTCCATTTCCATGGGCAGCGACATGAAATTTTACCAGAATCAGCATATTCCTCAATGAACACTACCAGCACTATGTGGAGTACAAGAGATAGTACTATAACATAAGTTGGTGACAACATTGTAGATATGTGGAGTAACAATGTCATTGTCTGCCTAACATACGTGATTACCACTTTGAGCTAGCTCAATATCCATTTCAAACATGAAGTTAAATATTAGTTTTTAATTGTGTAAAAGGTTATCTGGTTGAAATATTACAACCATTTACATTTTCTGAGATTAAATTTTGCTTTAACTCATTCTATTGTGAAGCTTTGAATCTTAAGGTTTAAAGGGCAACTTCAGAACGTATTCTTTTGTCTATCACTTTAGTTTCTTAGCTTTGTTTAATGATTTGGAACAAGATAATAATTTGAAAGGTGTCCCTATTGCTTCTTTTATCATTCCATATTTTGCATATTTTACAATGCTTCCACCATGTTTATAATTTTTACAGTATTACCATACAATATTTCTGACATTTCCAACATGTTTCTTATATTTGGATGATCGACATTTCTACCAACACCGATATTTTAAACTTTGGCACTATCTTCTTCACCAGGCAAGAGCAGGATAAGATGTTTGCCCACTCTTCTATATAGGCAACAGCAAAATCAAGCTTTACTTGTGTCAACACAAACATCAATTGAAAATAAAGGCATAAGCATGGCATTCATTGTTCCCAACTTATCATGATGCAAACCAGTTTTTTTATTATAAAATAAAAAAGAAAATTTATTATTAAAAGAGAAAGGTAATACAAGAAAGGTGCTAAGTAATCACCTATTCACCCACAAGCAAGAAAGAAAAACCATCGGCTACCAAATGTATGCAAAATTAAAGTGCCACCAACAACTCCTTGTTGAAAAACACAGATCAGCCAATGGTTAAAGGTAATCCTAGACAAAGTTCTCCCTAATAATCCATTCCAATGTTCCTTCCATGCTTTTCAAAACTGGACCGGACCGGACGATTGGACCGGAAAAACCAGGAACCAGTCAAGTGACTGGTTCCGTTTTCCCCAAAACCCGGATTCCCCCCAAAACCGTTGATTTTGGTCAGTGAACCGCTGAACTGAGCGGTTAACCATTCGAACCGTTTTGACCTTTTTTTATTTTTTTATTTTTCTTTCAGAATGGGCCAAGTGTTCGATTCGAACAGTCGGACCGTTCGACCCGGTAACTGGACCCTTGACTGGATCAGTCACCGGGTCGGTTTTAAAAACCATGGTTCCTCTAATCAACTGAAACTAAGGGCATGTTCGTTTGCTCTGACATATGACATCTGAAAGTGTAATAATTACATTAAGAGGTATATTGGTATTGGTGAACCTTTCTTTCCTCTGAACTCTAAATGCAGAGAATGGTGTTCAGAATTTTGAATTCTAAATTTTGAATTCCAAAAATTGTCAAATATCCATTTTAACCCCATATATGAGAATTTTTGTTTGTGTTTTGAGGATATCATTGGAAAACAAAAAGTTGTAAGACTATTCATTAAAAAAACCAAAAAGTTGTAAGATTCCTCTTTAAGAAATAAAAGATAAGAGGAAACGAACACCCATTTTCCTCTTAAAGTTGTAAGATTCCTCCTACAATATATGAGTTAAGAGCAATGTTTTAAAACGCGGAGGCGTGACATGAGGCATTCCAATACCTAGAGGTGTGAGACGTAATTCAAAACGCAAGAGGTGTAAGCCTCCTTAAGAGGAGGGGGGTTAGGATGAGGATGAAGAGGAAGGGAGATCTCATTTTTTTCGTTATTTTTAATAAAATTGGGCTGCATCGAAAAGGGGGTGGGGTGTCTAGGGGGCAAAGTGGCAAACCACTTTCTTTCCCCTTATCTTTTCTTCACTTTTTTTTATGAATAAAAATAATTTATTAATCCAGAAATTAAGGCAATTCAGGAAACCCATGAAGAGGCACGAGTTGTTACCTCTTCTAATTGTTAGTGTCGAGTATGTAGGGGTATCTCATTTGCTGATGTGTAATATTATGTTAGAACTAGTGTCCCTCACTTAAGTAGGGGCACATGTGTCTTTTCCATTATGTTAGTAATATAAAACATATCTGGCCGAATGGGAGAGGTAATTTTTCTCTCATTCGAATCAGACTTTTCTTCTCCTTTCTCTCTCTCTTTCTTTCTTCTTTCTTCTCCTTTCTCTCTCTCTCTTTCTTTCTTCTTTCTTCTCCTCTCTTCTTAGCTGTTATCAGACTAACAGAACTCAAAGGCAGGCCGAATTATAATATGGTATCAGAGCTCAACTAAGCAACTCGGATCTGCCCAGATTTCTGTTTTCTGTGCACCCAGTCTAGGGTTTTCTCTTGGTTTCTTTGTCATCGGTTGGAGATAAGGGAAAGGGCTGAAAAGGAGTGGTTGCCCTCTTCGCTTAGAGGTTTCTATGCCTCCAGTTGTGATGTTCGTGGTCGGTTGTTGTGGTTTCTAAGAAGCCTTCCCCTAATCGATGAAGAGAAGAGGGCTGATTTGTGTGGTGCAATGGGTGTCTTGTGTGGTCTAATTTTTGTGTAGTCTGATTTTTGGGTGATGAGGTAAGAGATTTATGTGCAATTTTTTTGTTGTGAATCAAATAATACATATGTTTCAGATTGTATGGTGGGTATTCAGACTGTAGTGTGCTAGGGTTTATGCTGTTTTCAATGTGATTCGAAGGGGGAGTGGTCCGCATATAGTGTGGTGAGATTTCAGGTAGTCGGGTAGGGCTTGTGGTGTAAAGAGTGGAATCTTCAGCAATAACAAGTGTTGAAACCAGTGTGATTAGTGTGTGGTGTGGTCTAGTGTGCAGTGTGTCGAATTCAGCAATAACAGAATTCAGCAATGGGAGACAGTAGCGATAGCAAGTCTAATGTGATGGTCCCTACTAATTACCCGAATGTTCAAATGACCTCCATTAAACTAAATGGAGAGAATTATGTACCTTGGACTAAATCTATAGAAGTTTTTCTTAAGGCAAAGAAGAAGGTGAAACACATAAGAGAAGAAAAACCCTCCACTGATTCTCATGAGTATGATGACTAGGAACAAGAGGATGCACTGCCAAAGATGTGTGGGACCATGCTAAGAAGTTGTAGTCTAGCCAAGACAATACAACTAGAGTATATCAGCTGTATCCAAGGAATTAAATATCGATACGATACGTCCGATACAGGGCGTATCATATTGGTATCGGATTAGAGCGATACAAGATACGTTACGAATGGAAACGTATCTTGCAATCACGTGTATCAGACCGATACGAGTGTGTATCGACCAGTAACGCATTGTATCGGTCGATACGCACCGTTACCGACCGATACGCAGCGTCTTTGATTAAAAACTTAAACTCTAAGCTAATAGAGTGATTCGAACAAGGAACACTGCACGCATGGCATGACCGCACGAGAGCCTTAAGCACTTCGTCAAACCACATGGCCATGCCATGCTTTGTGATATTTAACAAAAAAACAAAATTTTATTAACGCCTATCCAAATAAATAATCAATATTTATGTTTAACAACCCCAATTAAAAATTAAAATAAATAATATTTAAAATTAATATTTTATAAACAAATGGAATAAATAATATATTAATTCTACATTTACATTAAAAGTACAAAAAAAAGTATTTATATCAAAAGATGATTTTAATCTCAAGAAATTTATACAAAGAAAATATTAATAGTAGAATAATTACCTTACTACTTAAAATTTATAAATTTGCACATGATATATATCTTACAAATTTTATATATTATTATAATTAATAATTAATAATTTAATTTACATTAAATGACAACTTATTTATTATTTACAAAAAATAAAAATTTGTTTGCAAAATATTAAAAAATATGAATTTGCATATGATATATATCTTAGAAATTTTGACCAACTTTATATATTTTAAGTTAAAATTATATATTTTTATAAATTATTAAATGAGAATTTAATATTTGGTTAACTTTTTTGTTAATGTCAAAATGTAAAAATAATAAAATAGAAAATAATTGATATCATAATTACGATAAATATAACAAGTCCATCTTGCACTCTTAATTAATGCATTGTATGATATATTTTTATGTACACTTTCTTATATATTTATACATTATTAATGACTGTTTGACCATAAATTTGGTGTTATTAGTGTATTTATGAAATTTACATGTGTTTTCCTAGTTTATCCAAGTTTTTCATATGTTTCATCTGTATCCATGCGTTTCCGAAGCGTATTCGTATCCGTATCCGTATCCAAGTTGTCCGATACGATACTCGATACCGATACTTTAATCCTTGGCTGTATTAGGAATACTTTAATCTGCAACAGGGCAATCAGAGTCTTGAGGAGTACTATGCTAGTATGAGAAACATTCGTAATGAGTTGAATGTTTATCACCCCCTAACTTCTAATGTCAAAATTCAGCAACAGAGAGAACAGCTTGATGTGACTCGATTTTCGGAGGATTTCCATTGGATCTACTAAGAAATCTAATGTTTCCGATAGATCAGCCTTTGTAGTATCGAGGGGTCGTGATGTTAGAGGTGGAGCTCGGGGAGCTCAGTCTGGCCGTAGTAGTAGCAGTGGTCCGGTATATGGCCGGAGTGGTGGTGGTGGACCTACATATAACCGTGGTGGTGGTCATACTGGAGGT